TCAAGGGAACTTCCATTTCCCAACTGTGTCTAGTAAGTGGTTTAGGAAGGTTTTCCAATTTCTCTGACTTCGTTTTTGAAACTTTATCATTAGAGAATAAACCTCTATGTAATAGCACTATTCCAGTAACTCCTTGAATGATAAAAATGTATAAAAGTGAGCATTTTCTTTAGGTTAGTTATTATGGTAGTAACAATTTTGTGGCAGCTCCTTATTGAATAAAAATCTTGAGAAATGTGAAAGTTTCCCAAGATTTCTTTGTAACAGAGAAAGTTTAGCAACTTAGGGGTGGAGATGAAGCTGGGTCTATCTCCTGGTGACTCTCCTGGGAGGATGGAATTGGCAGTTTAGCCCTGCCAGCCTCACACCAGACATGTGGCATCACAAGTACAATGTCTCCATCTGAAAATGAGATCCTTATGGACAAAAGGGGGGCACAAACCGGCCTTGATAAACTCCACAACCAGAAGGGAACATTGGGAAAGAAAGCATAAAGCTTGGGCTTGTTCTCTGCATGCTGGGAGCTGTGCCTAGTGGGTCCCGTCAGGACGTTTCCAGGTGGCACCTGAGCCCCCCAGCACATGGGAGCTGCTGATGCAAATGGTCTTCAGCCTGCCCAGCCACCTCGAGACAGAGGCCAGGAACCAGACTGGTGGTGTTTCCCACAGATAGAAGCTGCAAAGGTTGCATGAGGAGCTGAAACAGGGCAGCCAGGCCCACAGGAGCAGCACCCAGAGCCCTCCTGGTTGGGGAGTAGCAGAGGCTGGAGGACAAGGAAGGATGGGCCTGAGTGTGTTTGGAACAGAGGAGGGAGAAGCACCCAGACTTGGGAGGGCTGTGGCGGGGCAGTCCAGAAACCCCTTCCCTAGCTTCCTGCCCTGTGCAGGCCCAGCACCACCTGGCTTCTGAATAGGGCAGTCAGCACCTGGCAGGAGGGGAGGCCGGGCACCAGGGGAGTGACACAGGCTGATGCCACTCATTCTTCCTCTGAATCCAGAGACTCAGGCTACGGAAGAGACTCACTCTGTCCTTCCTGCTAGCAGGAAATGTCAGTGTTCAGGTGATGCTATTTATTTATAAAGAAACTGAAGCAGATTTTTCTTCTTTATTGTAAGCAGATTCAGGTCTCCTGCTTAGGTAATCTATTGAAAATTTGATAAATTAATGTCATCAAGTCATAGTTTATCTACAGAAATAAATATTAAAAAGAGGAGCATACAAAATAAACTTTACAGAGATGTTAGATTTGGTTTAATTCACAATGTTTCAAAGCAGGTTAATGATCAGTGACTTATATTAAATAATACACCTACTATGTTTAATAATTTAAAAATAAATTCCAGGACTTATGATAATGATAACTGGAGATATCATTCACATTAAATACATTTTTGAAGATTCTCTTATTACATTACATAACGAATAGACATTTTAAATGGTATTGCAGACACATAATTTTAAGTCAGAGACAATATATGCATATTAAAATTCTGTATACTTTGATAAGGTAAAAAATAAAGCTATATAAACTGATCTTTACTTTTCTACAAAAGTAGAATCACATTTTCCTGACACTTCCAACATACCTCTATTAAAGCTGTTTATAGACATAGTATCAGAAAGATTTTCACTCCTTTTCACTCATCTCTAGCTTTGAAAAAGTTTGCATTTGCCAATTGATAATTTTCCTGGTTTTAAAATTTGAAATGGGTAATTTCCTGCCTACTATGCAATTATACCGAGTTGTCGAATAATTTTATGATGAAATAAAAGTGGTTGCATTAGTTCAATACTAGTCAGTGCAAAACACACACATTTAGTGGTTTAGAGAACAAGGACGGAGCCTTCCTCATCTGCTCTGGACGCCCAGCTGGTCGTGCAGCTCAGAGCAGCCATAGCAGGACAAGTTTCCTTGTAGCTATAGTCCACGGTGCCTGGCCAGCCAACTGGACATATCCTGTCCTGGGTGCTGGAGCCTGCTTGCTCACTCCATCTCTTCAAACAGGCAGGAAGCAACTGACTGGGGCCCTGGGATGCCCTCCTCAGCTTGCCAGACCCCACTGTAGCCACCTCACCTCAGGCCTGAGCCTGTGGGAAGGGCCCCATCCAGCACTCCTGTCACATCCTGCCGAGAGGGGCCTCTGCACCCTACGGAGATCCAGAGTGGGATCTGAGGTGCATTACCTCCCCAGCCTGGCCAGAGGCTCCTCACAGAGCCCTCAGGAAGGAGACAGGACGCTGTGAAGATGTATGGAGAGTGTACATGCGTGTCTGTGGCGTGTGGACGTGACATGGGTCCATGTGCGTGTAGGAGCAGTGTGACTGTGGGTGTGTGCACACGTTTGCACATGTGCATGGCCACGAGTGATGTGGAGCTGCCAGCCAGAGGACATGGATGCAGCAGGCTGCTCACGCCTGCGTGGGACAGCCCGTGCCAGGGGCCAAACACAAATGTCCGACAGCAGCAGTGGTGGGGTGGGGGGTAGAGTAGAGCTGAGGTTTCCAGCAAGCAAGATTTTCAGAGCTAAGAATGGTGCTTAACACTGGCGTTACAGTCTTCAAAGTTAGTTTAAGGCAAGTAAATGCTGACTGCCATGAGGTGGACAGTTGCACTACCTTGGGTCTGAAATGCCGTCTCACTGAGGGTCTTTTGAGCTTTCTATCTTGTGCCACTAGTCTATTTCAATTTATCAGGCACATTCATTTAATAACTTCCCAAACAATTTTCTTTTTTTTTGAGACAGTCTCAAGCTATTGCCCTGGGTAGAGTGCCGTGGCATCATTGCTTACAGCAACCTCAAACTCTTGGGCTCAAGCCATCCTCTTATCTCAATTTTTCTATTTTTAGTAGAGACAGAGTCTCACATTTTCCTCAGGCTGGTCTAGAACTTGTGAGCTTAGGCCACCTGCCTTGGCCTCCCAGAGTACAAGGATTACAGGCGTGAGCCACCGTTCCTGGCCCCAAACAATTTTCTAAAGACATGTGGAGTGTGTGATATCTCAGTGACTCAGATGCTGAGACTTGAGTCACCAGAGGTGAGTGGTGAGTCTCCCAGGCAGAACTGGTGTCCAGCTCCCTGACCTGCCAAGCAAGAATCTTCTATTTTTAAGGCTGAAGAATGGAAATTAAAAACAAAACCAAAAAGCTTATCACATTGGGGATTGAGTTAAAAAATGATGATTAAAATGAAATTATAACAAATTGTGAAGAAAAAGCATGGCAAATTATATTCCAAATACTCTGCTCAGCTAATCACTGCAGAAATATCAAGAAATGAAGAGGTGTGTGTGGGCATAATCTGGGCTGAAAATCACATTCAGCCAAAATTCTCACCAGAATTTAGAAGTGGCCAAAACCCCATTAACTTAAAAAATGAAAGCCTTAAAAACATACTTTAAAAATTAGACAATAGGTTAACAAATAAATGAATAAAAGAGATATAAACAGCTATGAAAATACTTTAGTGCAAAGGCAATTTTAAGATTTCTAAAAAAATACATTATAAATAACTTGTTAACTGAACATACAGAGAATCTGCACCCAACAGGTATTACATTTATACCCCTCTGCTGGGTTCTTAAAAAAGGCGTAAAAAACGCACACACCATTGTTTGTGGGGTCAGCGTGGGCGGGGCAGGGGCTCCTTGGCCGAATCTTTGGTGTGCTGCTCATGCGTCACTTCAACATGCCCCAACTATTGTGCTCGCTGCCCTTGCTGTCCACGTATCCCCTCTTCAAATAAATATTTACTGGTGAAATATTATACAATCAAACGGTGATATCTAAACTTCCAAAAAACGCCTTCTACCAAGTCCTCAGAAATGAACTTGGCTTGTGCATCCGAGCCCAGTTCCACGTAGAGCTGCCCAGCTGTGGTGAGGTGCTGACCTTCCGTTACTGCCTGAGTGGTGCTCTTCTCAGGTGTCAGTTTAATGCCTGGAGTCTGAATCTCAAACTGAAATGTCTTCTTTTGACCATTAAGGCTATGTCAGAAGTCACTGCTAAAAACAGAAATACTGGCACAGAAAGGACGGGGTCTGGCCTCCCCCCCCCCCACTCCCTGGAAAAATTCCCGAGACAAAGCTGGGCCATGTGGGGACCCAGTTGGGTGGTAAAGCTTCAAGCTGGGGCGGTCTCAGCTGTGCTACTACCTGTTGGAACCGTGTGACCACTTTGAGTGCCAATGCCACCCCTGTGGCCACCTCTCCACAAGGACAGAGGGTATCTGCTCGGGTACCTAAACCACTGCTCTGCTTGACACCCAAGCAGTGACCATCTCCCAGTGAGAGGTGACTGGCGACTGTGGCCTTGGCAGATGGCAGGTGCACCTCTCCTGCTTGTGGGCAGAGGCTGAAGGCGTTGCCTCACCCACTGAGGTTTTCTCCACAGTGGCAGCTCCAGCACCCAGGGTCAGGCAGCTCACTCATAACCCATGGAACCCATGTCACGGATGAGCAAGGACATCCATGGGCCTGTGAGGACGGATGCAGCCATCTGCAGCCTGTTCTGGCCCCCACTCCACGGCATTGGAGGTGTTCTGACAGGGTGTGCAGCAGCTCCACAGGCTCTGTGAGAGCCCAGGGACGATGGGCAGCATTCCCTCAAGGAGGCCAACAGTCACTGGCCAGCCCTACTCCCTGGGTGTCAGAGACACTGAGGGCACAGACATGTAGATGGGAGTGGCCTCAGGGGTTGCAGGAGGCCGAGCAGAGCTGCAGTCCCTTTTGCAGTCAGGCTAAAGTCCTGGAGGCCGCTGGGTCTCAGACAGGTGCTAGCTAGCACACTGAACCTAGAGGCAAGGTCTGTGATCCCCCTCTATCCTGGGGACCAGGAAGAGGCACACGTGGACACCTGGAGCACGGCTCATAAGGGCTGGCACTACACAGCACCAGTCACACGGGCGTTTCCAAACTGGACCCAGGGAAGCTGTGTCTTGGGCTACAACTGTGACAGTCCTGGGCAGGGCCCAGGGAGGGAGGTGGTGCGGCATCCTCCTCGTTCTTCCAGAATGTGAAGGCCACGTCCTGAGGGCGGGGACCACACCAGGCGTCCGATGGCTGGGGGTTCTGTGGAGAGGCAAGAGGGGTCGGCTCTGGAACATGGCCCTGACACTGTGCACGCGTTCTGCTGAGAGATGTGAAGCAGGGCAGTGCCAGGAAGCTCCGTGGCTGCCAACGCTGACTGGAGCCACTTTCAGAGGTGCCAACTGCTACCCCACCAACTCCAGAAGGATGGTCAGACCTGGTCCCGAGGGCAGGTCCCTTCCCCTGGTGGAGGCAGCAGAGAGGTACGGTCTCTCTGCACACAGATGCCAGCGCCTGCCTCCTGTTGTGCCTTCAGGTGATGGGCTGACATCCCAGATAATGAGTGGGGCAGGGGGTGAAGGGATGGACAGTGGCATGAGGCTTCCCCCATAACTGTCGTAACATACAAGAAAGCTCACAGGCCCTCAAGACCCCTGGATATGAAAGGCTAATCCTCCCTCTTGGGCAGGAAGGAGAGGCCTGGGGTGGGCGGTACCACACTGACCATGCCTGTGCATGTGGCCCACGTTACCTCTCTTGTCACCACAGTCAGACCAACAGCCCATCAGGATAAAGGGTTCACAGAGGAGTCAGAACTGACCAGGTGTGGGGCCAGACCAGAACGTCCGGCTACACCAAGAGGACACAGGTGCTCCCAGGCAGGCAGCTGGTGGACAGTGGATTCACTCCAAGTGGCCTTGACCTGTGCAATGTTCTACTTTGGGTTTTAAATCAGGATCCTCCCAATGGCTGCCTAAATCCCCCTCGAAGGTCCAGGAGTGAGCCTGTCTGGACACAGCCAGCAGCTAGGCGTGCATGTGTGGGGGGTATGCACGTGTGTGCCGGTCACCCTCAGGCACATTACTTACCTGCGACAGCAAAGGTGTGTGTGTGTAAAGAGGGTTTGTTCTCTTTTCATAGTGAAACTTAGTTATCAAAAAAAAAAAAAAAAAAAAAGCACAACACAGCAAAACTTTGGAGAACATGGACAGTCTCAAAGAGTCACAGCACACCGGCCTGAGTGCCCAGCGCAGCAGTGGCCATACCGTTACCTAGCGTCGAGCTAGTCACGCCTCAGCTGCGGTAAGAGGTCCTTCAGAAGGGGCCCGTCGCTGCTGGGTGCGGTGCTGAGCGGTGCCTTGTGCTGCGTGCTCTTCTGCAAGGGCAGGAAAGACACTGAGACGGCTGTGGCAGGGGCACAATGGGGGCTGTCAGGCCAGTACCCATGAGTGCCCGAAAGACAGTGTTGGCCTCCACCTGGCCACGGCAGACCCGTGGCTATAGCGGCACCAACAGTCACCACCTGCAGGCCCACAACCTAGAGTCTGCATGGGCTGTCATGGCTACCCGTTGGCAAGGGGGGGCAAGACCTCTGCAGATGACAGGCCACCTTCCCAAGAGGGCTATTGAAGAAAGAGCCTGCATCTGAGGGCGAGAGCAGCACAGGACTCAGGGGACAGGTCAGGAGAGGCAGGGTGTGCAGCGTCCATCAGCTGGAAGGTCGGCACGTCCAGAACCCCACAGCACATATCCTGCCACATGCCCTAGAGGCAGCAGCCTGCCCAGGGAGAGCTGCTAGCCCACCCTGCTGGTCAGGAGCATCTTGGCCAGCCCCATGTCCTGAGGTTCGATGCACTCTGGGCGCCCAGGCTGGTGTCTGAGCACTGTGGTTTCTAGTCCAGCTTCCTAGTTTCTCAGTAACAAGAAGGGAATCACGAGAGCTGAAGGGCAAGATCAGAATCAGAGCTGAAGGTCTGAACCAACAAAGTCCAGGTGAGGCAGAGGCAGCATGGTGCACATAAACGGGCAGAAAGACCAAGAGGTGGGCACACATATATGTCGCGTGTTACGTATATGTGGTATAGACCCCTGATGCCTGTAACTTTTTTTTTTTTGAGACAGAGTCTCAAGCTATCACCCTGGGTAGAGTGCTATGGCGTCACAGCTCACAGCAACCTCCAACTCTTGGGCTTAAGTGATTTTCTTGCTTCAGCCTCCCAAGTAGCTGGGACTACAGGCGCACGCCACAACACCTGGCTATTTTTTGGTTGTAGTTGTCACTGTTGTTTGGTGGGCCCAGGATGGATGCGAACCCACCAGCTCTGGTGTATGTGGCTGGCGCCCTAGCCACCTAAGCTATAGGTGCTGAGCCTGCCTGTGACTTTTTTTAAAAGATAGGAATTAAAAAAAAAAAAGCAGGCTCAGCGCCTATAGCTCAACCCGCTAAGGCGCCAGCCACGTACACCTAAGGTGGCGGGTTCGAATCCCCAGCCCGGACCCGCCAAACAACAATGATGGCTGCAACCAAAAAATAGCCGGGCGTTGTGGCGGGCGCCTGTGGTCCCAGCTACTTGGGAGGCAGAGGTAGGAGACTCGCTAGAGCCCAGGAGTTGGAGGTTGCTGTGAGCTGTAATGCCACGGCACTCTACCCAGGGGGACAGTTTGAGGCTCTGTCTCAAAAAAAAAAAAAAAAAAAAAAAAAGCAGCTATCTATTTGAAATAAAATATGTTCCAAGTAAGGACCAGTGAAATGTTTATTCCTCCAAAATTCTGCACAACTCTTGAGTGTTTCTGTAGCACCACAGTGAATTCCTAGGGCTGAGAGACTGCTGGAGGCAGGTGCCCTGTGGTAAGATGTCGGGGCTGGCCGTGCCCTGGTGCCACGCCCAGAGTCAGGGCCCTGGAAACCTTGGAGACTTCTCCATGCAGCCAGTGCCCAGTGCCTGCATGTTCAGAAGCAGACCAGCTCTTCGCAAATTACATCAATAGTTAGAATATTGATGACATAATTTAATTAGTCATCAATAAGCATGACAATAAGTTATCATTAAGTCCCTAAGGACCTCCTGGGACTTAATAAAGTGTTTCTAATAATTTCATCCAATATGTTTTCAAGTGTGGTGTGTATTATCAGTAGTGAATGAGATTATATATTCTAACAAATTCTGATGATACCAAATTAGAAAGATTTTGATTAAAATAGTGTTTAAAATATACAGAAGAAAAATTGTTACTGAAAGAAAAAAAGGCTTTTTCTTGCTGTAGGTGTCCTCCTGTGCTACACGGGAAAAGCCTTGCCTGTCTTGGGGTGTTGTGGGTGTTGTGAATGCTGTGCTGAGGGGCGGGAGTGGCCCTGGTGACATCCCTGTGCCAGACAATGCTCAGCCCTAGAGTCTGGGCTCTGTGGAGGCTCCTACCTGGAGCTGCCTCCAGAAAATGCTGGGCTGATGGCTCTACAGCCACTGGGAGCAAATGAGAAGGCTTCTCTAGAAACTACCAGTCTTTCTTCAAAAAGGTGAAAAAGGAATTTGGTAAAGCATACAACAGGAAATGCTTCTGCCCCTTTTTCCTAAGTGACAGGGCTCAGAGGGGCTGCCCTTTCCTGCAGCGCTGTAGGCCTTGAGCAAGCCCTTCCTCCAGTGGTCCTCAGCGTCCCATCTGCAGAGTGTGCAGGATGCACAGGCATGTGTGCAGGGAGGAGGTTCCACAGGCTGCAGGGGTGGGGTGGGCCGAGGAAGCGAGTGAGCTCCTGGGGTCAGGTAGCACAGATACCCATGCCTCCATGTGTAGCTGACCCACCCAACAGCACGAGGGCTGGTGGGGCACAGTGCTGAGCCCTTGCTGGGGGACTGAGAGAGAAACACCTTGAGCACTCTGTAGACCTCATGTGGTCACAGCATTCTGGGCACGGCTGCCATAACCAGTGACAAGCAGACACCAAGAGTATTACTCGGTTGCCCTGGGTGCTGTGTGCCTGCCTTGTGTCGTCCTGTGACCATAGTCTCAGACATGCAAAAAAGGCAAAGAAGCATCACCTGGTTCCGTCAGAAACTCAGACTGCTGGAAGTCTGGGAAAGCATAAAGATGGTAGACTGCTCGACAGAAAGGCACTTGTTCTTAGTCTGCCGGGCCGGGAGGCAGGAGAGGTCGTGCATCACAGACGAGTAAACAGGGTGTGGTTATTTAGGAAAAGCAGGTAGAAAGGTGGAGGGAAATAAGGAAGGAGAGAAAAACAGAGAGGCAGTGAGTTGGCACGGGCTCCCACACTCAGCGCAGGCCAGCTCTCCTACCCATGCAAGGCCAGGCACCCAGCTGGCAGCTGGCTTCCAGCAGGCTGCTGGACTCCAGGACACAGAGCTAGGGGGCTTCTAAGTCCTCACTGGCACCTCCCCAGTGGCTCTGCTGGGAGCAGAGGTGCTACAGCTACTCTGTCAGCTGTCCTGACAAGGCCCAGGAGGCCTGGGGAACTGTTTTTTCAACACTCACAGAGTTCAAGTCTACCATGCTCAGTGGGGACCTTTAGTGGGACTTTCTGGAGGCAGTGAGATACCTCCAGGCCCCAAAACATCCCGTCCTGCATCACTGTAAGCAAGCAGCATGTGGGGGCTGTGTGTGGACGTGCTCAGTATTGCTGAGCGGCCCCCTCTGCATCCTGAGGTCTGTGGGCTGGAGCTGCACACCATGGCCAGAGGTGGGGGTGCCGTGGCCAGGTCCCCTTCAAAGGGCTGATCGAGGCTAGGCCACCCTAAGCACAGCTGCTGCCCTGTGGAGGCTGAATCCCTGATGCACCTGAGCCTTGGGGAGGAAGTCCCATCTCTCAGAATGATTGGAGATTTCTAGGGATAGAACCTGAAAATCTGCATTTTTAATAAACTTGTGGGGATTGTGACACAGGTGTGCCCTGGACCAGCAGGTGAGAACTTTCTCATGTCTGCAGTGGACAGTCAGGTTTCCCAGTGAGACAGAGTGGGAAGGAGGTGGGTTTCCCCATCCACCCTCAGCCCCACAGAGCTCAAGGCTAGAGCTGGGACTGCTCCCAGTGGCAGGAAGGGTGGTAAGGCTGGGCCCTGCCCCAGGGCCTCCATACAGGTCACTTCCTCCCCGTGCCAGAGTCCAGTTTGTGGACACACCTTGGGAATATGGAAAACAGAAGCCTGACCAGCACCCAGCATAAACTCTAACTAACACTGTGGCCAAATTCACCACCCTACGATTTAGCCATCATAAAATAATGATTAATTAAAAATTTGGATTTACATAAGTTAACTATTTTTGGTATTGATCTTCCCATTCTTTTTATCACTTCAGATGACCATTTAGAGCTAACATAAAACTAAACAAATTAAATTCCTCTAACCCACTGTTTAAGGCCACACACCATTATGAGAGCCATCAGCCACACACAGACAGACCACAACTCCCTGAGACCCAAACCTCCCATCCTACCTTTTAAACTGTTATTTTTGTAGAGGGGGTGCATACCTGGACTCTCTCTGTCGCTGTTGGCCACAGCTGTCGGCACAGGACCTTCTTGAGGACGTCAGGGAGGAGGCTGACCGTCACCAGCAGCACGACAGCCAGCCAGGCGGGCCCGCTGGACAGCATCTGGATGAACACGTAGTACATCCTCTGGTAGTTGAGGAACGGCCTGTGGAGTGGGGGAGGGGCACAAGGTCAGAAGGCTCCAGACACCTGTTCCCTGTCCAAGCAAGGTGGCCTTTTCTTCTGGGAATTGTCACTTTTGTCACTGACTGTCCCTGGGAGCTGTTTAGCACCTGCTCTGATGGACCACATAAAAAGTGAGATGCAGACCCGCCCAAAAGACACTGGGTCATGTGGACAGAGCAGGGGTGGCTCAGAGCAGCCCCAGGAAAAGTGGCTTCTGGCTTTTGAGCAGCACAGGAAAAGTGACTAAAACAGTGGAGCCTCTCGTCTCAGAGCCTCGGTGTGACCGATGCTTCCTTATATGGAAAGACATGTTATTTCTGCCCCAAAAGGCTGGGACAGCGTCCCCACTAGGAGCACTGACAATCCTGAGATGTCTGTGCGGGGCTCTGAGCCAGAATGAGGCCTGTGGGTACGGTGCCCACTCTGAGTCACGTGGCCCATCCCCTGCACAGCTGTCATGGATGCCTCAGTGCTGGCCTTGCTATAGCTGAGGGACACAGGAATAGCTCCCCCCCACCAGAAGACATGGTTAGACTGGGGTGGGGAGCCTGGGGCCAGCACGGAGAGTGGGGGCAGGTGGGCTGCGGCAAGGAAGTGTCAACGTGTTCTCTGGCCACTGGAGCCATCAGCTGACCAGGATAACAGACAGATGTGTGGCCCCAGGCCAGGGCCCTATGAGCTGTGGGAATTTTCATGCCCCATTCAGAGGGGCCCCCTCTCCTGGACGCTGTGCTTGATGGACCTGGAATGGAAGGACCCTGTGTTAACCTGCAGCCGGGAGGCTCCAGCCCTGCTCAGGGGTCTGTCTTGGGGAAGCCCTGAGTATAGGGACTGCATGGGGAACACAGTGAGCACTAATGGAGCCATGTGTCTGGGGTCTCACGGGATGAGTAGGAGCTCACAGGATGGGAAGGGTGCTTTGGGCAGAGAGAACAGCCTGTGCAGAGGCTGCTGCTGGACTGAGACTGATGCTGGCTTCCTCCCAGACAGGTCACATAGCCTTACCTCCTGGCCAGCTTATCATGACCATCTCTGAACTGACTGCCCTGTGCACATGGCCTCACCAGTTCAACCTCACACAGCCTCCACAGTCTTTGTAGAAGAACAGCTGACACTGCTGTGCTTATGTTCATCTTCCTGTGACTGGTCCACTAACCATACGTTGGACCAAAGCCAGGACCCTTGGGCTGACAGGTCTGGAAAGGGCCTGGGTCAGCTTTCCACTCGCCCCCCGCCTGCTGCTGTCCACACCAGAGGCCCCGGACAGGCTTGCACCTGCTGCTGAGCCAGAGCCCCTCCCCCCAGCCAGGCTGCAGCCCATTGCAGTCCACTGGCAATGAGGTCGTCTCCTCCAGATGCGGCCTGGCAGATGCTCTGCACGTCACCTTGTTGGGAGTCATTTAGAAATGTCTGCTATTGCCATGATGATGATTTTCCTCTGGTTTTAGTTTAAACAACTTTTTTGAGACTTTCAACCCTTGGGCAGAGTGTGCTGTCTGCTCTGCACTGCCCGCTCGTAGGTAGTACCACTGGGCATGTCTCCCACCATCCCAGTGTGCTGGTCACAGGGGCGGCCTTGTGCCTGGCCTCCCCTGCACCCCAGGAACAGGTGTGATACCTGGCACCCAGGGGACAACCCCACACAGCCACCAAGGCTGTGAGGGACAGGTGCCTCGAACCCCTGCAGGCACAGACAATCACGTCACGTTGCGTGAATTCATACCAGATAATCCCTCCCCAGAGGAGGGAAAAGACGACGTAGAAGAGCAGTGAGCCCCAGATGACAAAGTGGTTGATCCAGGTCCAGTAATGTGTGTCCAGTGCCAGCTGGAAGAGAGCAAGACGGTCAGTGGTGTCACTGCAGGCCATCATTGTGCCCGGGGCAGGGAAGGGCAGAGCCAGCACAGAACAAGCTGCAGTGTGAACACAGCCCACGTTGACGTTCTTTGGGAAAAGAAAGCAGAGCCTCACCCTGCTACCAGGGAAAGAGCACTAGGACGTGGTGGCCCACTAGTGACGTTGTCCGGGAGACCCCGGACCCTGGGGAGGCAGGGTGGAGGCGTGACCCCAGACGGGCTGCACACTGAGGCACTAGCCCGTAGCCCTGCCCAGAGGGGTCCTACAGGTCTGCAGACTTCCATAAGAATGTTCCAGATAGTCCCTCACTTGACTTTAAAGAGCTAAACCTTCCAAAAGACATTCATTTGTTTCAACTTAAATGCACTTTGACTATACCAGGGGCAGGACTAATGCCATTTAAGAGAATTCTGACTCGAACTCTCTCATAAAGCCACCTTTTGTGTGATTCTGCAAGTTTGTATTCAGATGGGATCCCTGTTGCGCACTCCAACAGAGCAAGTGAGCAGACCAAGTTTAAACAGCTGGCAGTGACCCTGAGGGCAGTGGACAGCTGAGGTAGTTTAGGGGAAGGGGAGGCCTCCAGCCTCCGGGAGGGGGGAATTTGTAACTCAAAGGATCAGCAGGGCGGGACCCACACGTAGGGTGATGTCATTACCTTTAGGGTGACTGTAAATACCATCGCTGTGAACACCAGCATCCCGAAGGTCCAATTTCCAAATATCTGTTTAGGAAAAACCGTCCAAATAATCTCGTTATCTCACAGTTTCCCTCCTGCACAGTCACGACATGTTTCAGAAAATACACGTCGTTGCTCTTGCACACCGACACCTCATACCCCAAATACTCTGCACTGCACCTTCTTCCTTGAAGTAAAAGGAGCTGGTGGGGACACCTGGACACAGCAAGGCCCGCAGCACTGCCCATTGCAGTCTGCGCCTCGCCGGTGGGCCACAGTCCACCTGCTCTGAGCTTTCCACTCCTCCCTGTTCAATCACAGCAAACGAGAGCAAGAAAAACACCCACAGCTGATCTCTCCATACGCAGGTGCAGACTCTGCTCAGGTTTTATGCAGAAGAGGCATCAACCCTGCCACCTGCAGGTCTCGGCATAAACCAGGAAAGTCTGTGGCAATTTCCTTTCCACTTGACTCACACTCCTGCCTACTGCTGAAGAGAACGGCTGCTAAAAAACTGCAAGAAAATGACTCAAACACAGGGATGGGACTTTCCTCTGGACATCTGGGGAAGGAGACGAGGAGACAGACAGGACAGAGGTTGTCCTGCTTGTGGCCACGGCCAAGGAGAGCCAGCAGGACCCTGTGCTCCCACCTGGCCAGTCAAACCCGGGGAAATAATATGTTTCTCAACCACAGAGACAGAAGCAAAGTGAAGGACCTGCACCTTCAGAGCTGCTCCTCTCGGAGGAAACCAGGCAACTGGGATTTCACTCTGCTGGGACTGTTTTCCTGGAGATTTCACACTAGGTATGGATCTACCTGAACTGTGCCCCTCAAAGAACATTCCCTGTATTTCTTTAAAGTAAAATTAAGTTTTAGTTTACCAAGAACCAAAAAGCTAGAACACAAATGGCTTTTCTTTATCGCTAGCATTTGGCCCAGGTGAAGGTACAAGGGCAGGTAGTGGGAGAGAGAGCCAGGACACCCACCATGGACACAGACCCAGGCCTGCCAGCGTCCCTCACTTCACTCTCCAGTTCCTTGTTGCCATTGGAGCCAGACCCCTCTTTTGGCTCAGAAACAGCCACTCAGGTGGGTACACTCAGAAGTGTACACTCAGGTACACTTCTCAACCAGGGCCACTCTGCCCCAAGAGACACCTGGTCATGGCTGGGGACATCTCCACTGTCAGAGCCTGTGGGGAGGCTGGGCTGCTGGATGAACAGGACAGCAGCCTATGAAAGAACCACCCGGCCCCAAACATCCAAGAGCAGAGGGAGGGAAACCTCGACACACACTCTCCGAGATGGGCGCCTTTTGCGGTGCTGAGCTTTGGGGGCAGGAATGTTTTGTAACTCTAAGACCTGCTGAGGTGGGGCAGCAGCCTGCTGGGACATTTGGATGGAAGGTGCTGGGAGCATGTGGCTGCTTGGTCTAATTGGAAGCTGACTTGTTATCAAAGGGAGAACCACAGCAGGCCTGGGTGGTTGTGCACCCCGACAGGCACCTGGGCCCAACCTGGCTTTCCACTTTCTCCCCCAGGCCCCTCCTTGGCCATCCCACCACAACTCTAAAATAGGTAACAGCAAATTGTGGGCACTGAGGTTGCAAAACCAGAAATGTGCCTCTCGTGGACACCCAAGCCGGGGCAGCTCTGGCCACTTGAATGGCTTCCAGGTCTCCCTCCTGCCCTAGTGCCCTGGACGGGGGTCACGGCCACCTACAGTTAGCAGGCTGCCTCCTGATAGAACAGCTGGGCCATGGCTTCTGTGCTCACAGGGAGATAATAACAGGGCCCAGCCATTTCAGACCCAGAATCAGGGACACGGGTCAGGATCCTTGGGAAAGCCGGACTTGTCCTCCTGCATCTCTCTATCCTCAAGGCCACCCACTGGGGATAGTCACCCTGTGACTCTGTAAAGTTGTCTTAAAATCTTAATCTATTTGGGGCGGGATCCCCCAGCCTAAGGGCCAACAGTCAATTTGGCTCTGTGCCCTCTGGCCATGATTCCTGTCAGCTCTGGGGAGGTGGGCTGAGCCCCAGGGCACCTGCCCCTTTCTTGAAGGGGGTTGGGAGAGACAACTGTTTCCTAAGTGACATCAGGCCCACCACAGTATAGCCTCCTGCTTCTGATTCCCTTAGGACTCAGGCTGACATGATGCCACATCTCAGCTGAGAGTGTGACTGATCTACTGGCCTTGTTCCTGTCCTAGTGTCTCAGCAGAGCTGTCCTTGGGTCACACATACCCTCCCTTGCATGTGAGTTAAATCCCCCATACTGAGAATGACTATCCTTATAGGAAGTGTCCTACTCAAAAAAGCCTCCAAACCCAGGCCATTCTTTACGTCTAAAAATACCCCAGACAAACACAATGAGAGTTTTCTCAAGGTCATGGTCCCGGCCCCTGCTATGTTCCCTTCCTGTAGGCTACCTGTCAGTCTGCCTGCCCCCACAGTCTAGGCACGGCTCTCCTGCTGTGTCCTGACTTCTCCAGAAGTGCATCCCAGGCTTTCCAGAGCACAGCTAGGAATACCCTGACGTTTATCGGTAACAAAATAGCTGTGTCTTGGGACCATCATCTGTGACATCAAAATGAGAAATAATTCTGGCTCATTATGTCTACAGAGAAAATGCTCCATAAGTGAATTTTTCTTTTAAAAAAGCTGTCTACAATTCTTTTATTCCTTCAGGAGTTCACACAATCACAAAGTTCTTTTAGAATTTAGATCCCAAAAAAAGGGGTCCTTGGGTACTGACAGTGCCCAGAGGAGGGCGTCCGGACCCAGCCTGGGTCAGCAGCACTCTGGCTGTGAAGGGTGTGATGTGGGAGAGAGCAGGTGCCACTGCACACTGCGCAGCCTGCCCAGGAGCAGTTTTGCTGGGCGGTGTGAGCTTAGCCTCCACAGAAAGAAGCTGAAAAATCAGTAAGGGGAGCCACTGAGGCACAGTGGGAACCTGCTGCCCCTTGGCCTTGTGGGAACCTCAGTCACCCCATCACCTGCCCTCTGAATTTCTGTTTCACACATGACAGGGCATGAGTGGATTGTCACTGTGACCGGGGGCTACACTGTGACTCGTCCTGGAATACAGTGCCAAGTCTCCGGTGTAATCTTGTTTGGCGCCCTGGTGACTTGGAGCACATCTATCCCCTCAACTGTGCAGTTAGGTACCCAGGCTTCACGGTAACTGGCTCCTGCCTGCCAAGGGCTACATATGGCTGTGTGGCTACAGTGTCAGGCCCGCCTGGCCCCAGTTCTGGGTTAAGGGCTGCTGGGCTCTGGGGCTCCCTGGCTTGGGTGGTGCTGGTCAGGACATTTCCCCTTGGCCTCTCTCCCTGCTGCCAAGTCAGACCCTGACAAGTTCTGTCCACTTGTGGCTGACAACAGGGATGTGAGCTGGGTGGGGACTGAGTGCCACAGACGTGTATCACCCGGGGCTTAGTGTAAGATAGTTGGGGACAGATAGGGAGAGGGAGGTCCCCAGCCTAGGAAACAGGAGCTGGTAAGAACCCTCAGTCTTGGGAAGGGGACATGGAGTTGATGCACCAGAGGGCCAACTGCATGCTGGGGTTTCAGGGACCCCCGAGGAGGGTGATGCTGAGGAGGCTCCTGTGGGAAGGCCTTGAGGAGCCATATGGCCCAGCACACTCTCTAGAATGGGGCCACCTGTGTCCTCTCTTGAAATCGGCCTCCTTGGTCTCCGTGGGAAGTCCCTTTCACTCTCACTCTAAGACCGACACCTGCGAAGCCCAAGACAACCTAAATAACCCCCCCAGGGTGTGAGTTCATCCCCTGACCTTGTACCAGTCACTTATCTGTCTGAACTTCAGTTTCCCCAACCTTCATGTGGTGTTAACGTCCAGCAGAAAGCCTGACGGTGGGGCAGGATGAAGTCTCTGCCAGACAAGGGCGCTCACTGTGGCACGGCAGGCTGTAGGGCCCTGGGACCCCACTTCTCAGAACACAGCGTCTTTGTTCTTCTTAAGACACACGCAGGACACTTATGTAGAGCCTGACCCTACGTGATCTTACAAAAAATATGTGAGGACTGAAATATGGCTCTGTTTAACTATATCTATGTCCTGGAGGCACTGGGGAATTAGTCAATTAAAATAAACTAAGACAAAGAATAGGTACTAGAAAAATATACAAATTTTAGAATAGTAAAATAAGATTTTAATAAATTATCAAGGCTAATTTAGTGAAAACTGATTTAAGTTATGACAGAAGACAGCACCTTTCAGTAAGGAGAAAACAGAAATAAACAATAAATGAGTAAACATTGCACGGGACACGTAGCGAGACTTAGGTTCAATCCAACAGTCTGGGGGATAAACGAGAGGAAAAGAGAGGTGTTTGGGTTAAATAGAAAATGAGAACAAATCTCTGTGAATCACCCTGGCTTGAGCAGGGCAGTCAGCTGTGCAGCACTCAAAGTCTGCACATTTAAGGAGGGTGGGACTGTTCCGCCTTCCACACTGTGGCTCGTGGCTCCCAGGGAGCACATGTGTGCCGGGGCCAAAGCCACGTACCTGTGTTACGCTGCCTTTTACTTGAAGTCGAGGGAAGCTCAGTTCAGAAAACATCCCTGACTCACCTGGCAGCCCAGCCTGACACACAAACCCACAGAAGAGACACCACTGCAGGGACGGAAAGGGCACACCTCTGACAAAGCTGTGGCTCTAAGGTGAGAGAGGCGTGGCAGCTAGCGGCATTTCTACCACAAAGCACACAGAAGTCGTCACATTCGAAAATATTTTCGAGAAATATTTCATTTGTAATGCACTCCAAAAACACAGAGAAAGGACAAAGCCGGGGTGGTCTTACCATGTGCGTGTTGGCAGTCATTATCTGAGAGTGGGAGGGAAGCAAGTGGCAAAAAGAAAAAAGCAAGATACAAATAAAACAAACCCCCAGGAATTATGCAAACAACCAGACAGCCGAATGACTGTTAGAATAAAACTAGAAATCTATTCATTGCAGAGGAGATACTTAAGTACGGTACTTGGGGAAAAACACTAAAATGCGTTACATATGAAATTAATTCCCACGTTACAGAAGCAACGTCTGAGTGACACAACTGAACCTCTCCGTGATTAGCTCAGGGTGGACTGTAAGTCACAGAGACAAGCCTAAGACCCTGGGAAGGGTGTCTCCAAACGAGGTTCCGCAGATGTGGCGTCTACCGACAGGACCTTGCCACACTGTACCCAAAGCAACTGGACAGATAGAGACGAATCCATCTAACCCACGGGAGCCACCATGGCTGCGCTGAGCTTCATCCCTGCACAGTGACAAGGGTTTGAGGGCTAATTCCCGAGTAGCTAAGTCAGCAAAATTGAGTCCAGTACTGACCTGTCCGTTGTTGGTCACTGTCGTATTTTCAAACATGAAATAAGCACCAAAGAAGAATACCAGAGCATCAAACACTCCCAAGAAGGTCCAGTAGATGAATGCTCGCCAGCGGAGCAGTGCATTCTTGGCGATGTCTCTGTATGAGGAAGACAGGGATCTGAGTTTTGGTGACATGAGCAGATGGCCTCACCCAATGCACGGCCGCCCCTCCATCTGAGTCTCCATGTGCAAACTGTGTGTCCCACAAAGCCACACCTGTGCCCAGCAGCCAGCGCAAAGGGCTCTTCCAACAGGGCATCTTGCTGCACATGTCCTCAGCTGAGGTTTAGGGACTACTTCCTCTCTTGTTCTTAACCACAATGTCACTACAGGCCGAGACACAGACACACTTGAGCCTCTGAACGTAGTGAGCACACAGCACAGTGCACACACCTCACGGACTGAAGATCAAGTCTACCCATAATGCGCAGTGTAGTGTCTCATGCCTGCTAGTCGAGTAACAGAGAGTCTGCAGTGCATGCTCACCTGCCTCCGCAGATCCACTCCAGCCCACCCACACACACAACAACTTGGAAGCCCGCTCTGTGCTGTTGGCCTTCACCACCCACAGTGTCTGTCTGGGCTCCCAGACATCAAGATCCCACACGGGGGCCTCATGTCCTGATGGGCAGTGAGCAGCCCATGACTGTGGCGGTGGAGTCAGGAACCACACGTGTGAGGAGACTGCGCGGAACAAAAGCATCACAGACATGCACGTGAGCACAGATGTGTGAACACAGACACATGAGCACAGACATGCACGTGAACACACACGTGAACACAGACACAGCACAGACATGCATGTGAGCACAAACGCATGAGCCCAGACATGTGAGCACAGACGCGTGAGCACAGGCGTGTGAACACGGACACGTGAGCTCAGAATCATGAGCACAGACGCATGTGAGTACAGATGCGTGAACACAGACATGCACGTGAGCACAGACACGTAAGCAGACATGTACACGCACAGATGCATAAGAGCACATGTATGCACATGGACTTGAGCGTGCACATGAGCACAAACATACAAGCACAAGGACACACACGAGCATATGCAAAGCACACATATCAATTCAATGAGCACATGCCCGCACATGTCACATACATAAATATGCACACAAGCGCATGTGCAAGTGAGCACGCAAGCACTGATGCACATACATGAGCACACACCCCCACAAGCACACAACGAGGGCACAGTCAAGCACATATGTGTACATGTCCATGACAGCACACATACAAATGCACCCAGAGCCCAACACAAGCACAGATGCACCAGTGTGCACATGCTGAGTGATCTGAATGTGACACTAAACGATAGTTCCTAACTGGAGGACGCTGAACCAGTAATGACGCACAGGGTCCCTCTGTATTATTCTTTCTTTCTTTTTTGGAAACTGAGTCTCACTCTGTCACCCCGGGTAGAGTGCCATGGGGACACAACTCACAGCAACCTCCAACTCCTGCAATCAAGCAATCCTCTTGCCTCAGCCTCCTAAGTACCTGGGACTACAGGCGCCTGCCACGATGCCTGGCTAGTTTTTCTATTTTTGGAAGAGACAGGTTTTCACTCTTTCTTAGGTTGGTCTCCGACTCTTGAGCTCAAAGGATCACCCACCTCAGCCTCCCAGCGTGCTGGGATTATGAGCTTGAGCCACCACACCCAGCCTGTATCACTTCTTACAACTATATGTGGATCTAAAATTATCTGACAAGTAGAAATTTAATTAGAAAGACAAGAGGAAAAACAGTAGCACAACGAATCTGCCAGAGATCCTGGTGGCAGCTGTGAAACAGCAGAGAAACATCTTTTCCTGGTGATTAAAACAAACTGCCCAGAAGAGCCCTCTGAAGTTGCACTGCAGACTTTCTTTTCCTCACTTAATAGAACATGCTTGGTTTTAAAGGACGATTTACCTGTAAACTCACTGAGTCCCTGCACAGCTGTCACAAGAACAGTGAAGTATGACCTGACCTCAGATGTCCCTTTCTAATGCAACGAAACCGTCGTCCCATGAAGTGCCCTTTAATTACATCTCTTCCTGTGTTAAGAGCCTCTTAAAGAAGCAGGGGTATTAGCTGACACCAGATGCTCCCGACTTCTAAGTGACGTCCGTCAGGCATTTGTGGAGGGACCTTGGTGCTGCCTGAGCTCTGGAGCAAGGCACCATCACCCACCTGTACAGGGCGCCCCCCCACCCCCAGAGCTCCACGCAGATGCTGCCCATCACCCACCTGTACAGGGCGCCCCCCTGACCCCCAAGCCGCCACACACTCACTGCCTGTCACCCACCTGTACAGGGCAGCCCCCAGGAGCCCCCACACAGACGCTGCCCGTCACCCACCTATACAGGGAGGGCCTCCCAGAGCTCCATGCAGATGCTGCCCATCACCCACCTGTACAGGGCGCCCTCCACCCCCCAGAGCTCCACGCAGATGCTGCCCATCACCCACCTGTACAGGGCGCCCCCCCCAACCCCCGAGCCACCACACACTCACTGCCTGTCACCCACCTGTACAGGGCGCCCCCCACTCCCCAGAGCCTCCACACACTCGCTGCCTGTCACCCACCTGTACAGGGTGCCCCCCACTCCCCAGAGCCTCCACACACTTGCTGCCTGTCACCCACCTGTACAGGGCGGGGTCCCTCCTGAGCGCGTCCATGCTGACGTGCTGCTCCATCAGACTGTACAGGAGGATCGGCAGGGACGTGAAGCTGATGTTGTACAGCGTCAGATATGCAGTGTCGTACAAAGTCTGGAGAAAGAGGAAAACAACACCTCACTGCATTCTTACAAACTTTTTGACAATTTGATTGCAATGTGGGAAGACCCACGAACATGCACAGAACACATCTACCATGCAGGAGGAGCCATCTTTCCAGATACAGGAGCACCAGGATGACTTTCAAAGCTTCATACTGGAAACTAGGAAACTACGATTAAAATCAGTCCTTTGAGCTTTGATTATTCTTGCCCTGGGCACTTCCAGTGACAAGAGGTGGCCACATGCCTCTGTACACACTGATACCAGGATGACCCAGAGGCACTGAGGACCCCTGGTTTAGGCCAGTCCTTGCAGTTAGGGTTAGAAAGCTCAGCACAGCCCTGCCTGGGCCTGGGCCAAGGCAGGTCTTGGCCACATGGTTCCCTGGTGGGCATCTCAGACACACATCACACCAGAGAACACGGAGCCTGCACCACGCTTGGCACTCTACCTCACCTAAGGGGACACCTCCCCACCTGTGGAGGCCTCACTATATGTCCTTCAAGCCCCCTCTGCCCAGAATGGCCCCCATCCAGGCAGGGACACAGCTCAGACAGCTTCTGGTGTGAGGCACTGGGACTGACCTGCTGTGAGAACCCGCAGAAGAACTGGAATAAGAACTGCGGCAGAACAAAGCAGACGTTCTGAAAGAGAAGCCAGGCCGTTAGTCCAAGGCACTGCGGGGAGCTGCTTACTCTGCACGCCTGCTCTCTGCGGGAAGCATGGGCTTGGGGTGCTCCTCTCTGACTTCAGTGGCAACTACCACGGGGAAGCAACTGAGCCTGGCACTCTGAGGATGGACAGCATAAAGGGGAGCCTGTTAGCTGAGAGAGGAGCCAGGAGGGAAGGCAGGCATCAGAATACACACGGAAGAGGTAAGCCTCAGGATAAATACAGGATTATTCAAAGGAATTGTAAATTAATGTCCCTGCCTCAGATAATCTTACAACTGAGAGGTTCTAGTTGGTTCCACACTACAGTCTGTGGAAGTATTGGGCTTTCTTCTCACGCCCTAGCATCCCTAGCTCATGTTGCAGGACCCCTGTGGGTGCCCGACACTGCTCATGGTACCACGCCCCAAGTACTCTGCCTTTCCTGTGCCCACTTACTTAGGACAAAATTTAATTTATAAATTATGCACAGAGAATAGTGACGTAAAATGGAACCACTGTAACAAAGTACAGAGTTATGTGAAGGTGGTTTCTCTCTCAATCTCTCACAACATTCTCCCCCTTCTTCCTGTGATCTGCTGCCTTCCTCACTGAGACGGCCCCCACACGGCTCACAGGTGGGGAGCGCAGAAAGTAGGGAGGGGGGCAGAGGAGGGAGTCACATCCTGCGGGATGGAGAGAGACGACCTGAGATTTCATCATGCTACTCAGCGTAGAGCACAATTTAAAACATATATATTGTTTACTTCTGGAATTTTCTGCTTAGTATTTTTAGGCCTCGCTGATCCTGGCTAAGGTGACGAGGGGTCCACTGTAACCAGACTGACCCCTTCAGCTCTGACTATGGCATCATGGAATGGTGGGAGGCAGGGCCGTCCTACCTTGTAAAAGAAGTACTGCACCAGCTCGGATATCCTGATGTAGTAGAAATGCCCGTGAACAAGAAGCATCTTCTTCAAATGCTTAAACTTGGGTATTGCATAGTCACTATTCCGGGCAGCCTGCCGGCCCTCCTTCCCAATGATCCCTGCAATTGGGAAGCAGAATAAGGATAGGTGACGACATGGTTGTGAGTGTCCTCTGGTGTGATGACTGGGTCATGGGGGTGTCCTACATGTGCCACCTACACGCTTGGATAGTACCTGGGTCACTGCAGCAGCGGCTGCTGCCCATGCACCAGGTGGAGGGGCGGTGCTTACCTATGCATCTCAGGTGGAGGGGCGGTGCTTACCTATGCATCTCAGGTGGAGGGG